TACCAGACTCAGCGAGTACAATGGGTAAGGACAATACTATAATATTTTCATGTCTTTTCATTGGACGGCACTAGGCAGCAGCATCAGCCACATTTTTATAACACCTCGTAAGACAGCCATGAAAGAGGACTTCCAGAACTGGTACAAAAGTAGCATGTTAGGCATACATGAGATATGTATGCCTAAAGTGAGGGAATCAATGGCCCTGTGTCTTTTACTGTGTAGTAAAGATTTTTAAAATTTTGGGGGTTTGTGGGGGCGGGGGTAGTTCAGGCTGGCCTTAAACTCACTATGTGGTCCAAACTGCCCCTGAACTCATGGCATTCCTCCTGCCTCAGCCTCCCGAGGGATGGGATCAAGGGTGTGCACCACCACGCTAGCTCTTTTTTTTTTTATTTAAATATTCACTGTACTTGCATATAAGCTCTGGCTCTTTCCAAAGAAAGAATCTAGAAGCAATGACACTTAAAAGTAATGAGTACCCTAGAGTACAGACATTACGGATTTCTAGGTATTATCACCCACTAAAAGGAAGCAGAGTTCTCTGAGAAAGGGCCAGTTGCAGGGCTGGGATGGCAGAGGACAAGATGAGCCCTGAAGAGCTTGTGCAGGAAAATAAGGAGGCTTAAAAACTGCCTGGGGCTACGGGAAAGGATCCCTCAGGGCCAAAAGAAGTAATGTGAGCAACAGGAGAACAATCAGAAAAATAGATAATAAGATGTTAAATTGAAAAACAAATTCAGGAACCATAATGATTCAACAGTGTGAGTAGGGAGAAGAGAAAGCTATGTTTACAGAAGAGAATACCAACAAATGCAGGTAGAAATGTAGAAGGGACGATATGAAAATCACTACTTTATCGTGCAAACATAGATATCACAGCTGAAGAAAATGGGCAAAATAAGTCTTTATTCTTTAAAAATTATCAATTAGGCCGGGGATTTAGCTCAGTGGTTCGGTGGCCTGCCTTGCAAGTGCAAGGACCGGAGTTCAATCCCCGGTACCTAAATAAA